CCTCTCTGCCCCTCCCTCCAGGTGCTCATGCTCGATCTCCGTCTCAGGTAAAATAAATAAATAAATAAGACCCCAAACACTGCATTTGGGTGTCTTAGATCACTATTTTCCAGTCCACTTGAGGTCGTTGTGTAGCTGTTGACCTTGTGATCCTTTTTCCGTGTTCTCTCCCTGTTGTGCTATAATCACCATACCTTCAAATCTGAGCCTTTGAGGCAGAGGTGGTAACGAGTTAATTGTCTTTAGCCCCTTCAGTTTTAGCTTTCTGTCTAATATCACTTAAGGTATTTACATGTGGAATACTGCTTGCTCCTGAGATTCTGATAATTTTTGTTACGTTTCTTAGGGAAAAAAAGGAATGGGTCATCATTAAAGGGGGGAAATTTGAAGGTAAGCGGGCTTTTAAAGCGTGGCTGTCATTTGTCTTTCTACGTGGGTAAGCAGGGTAATGGACAAATATCTCAGCACTCCAGTGATGCCTGTTCATTTCTAGTTTACTCAGCTACAGAAAAGCATTATGAAACCAAGACTTTGATCTTGTCAACATAGTATTGTTTGTCTTTCTAAGTACTGCTTCTGCTTCTGGTACTTTGATGCTAAAGATTTTTTTTTTAGTGTTTGATAATGAACTTTATTCACAAGATTCCAAACTCTAATTATGACAGGATCCATAGTGAAAAGTCTATCTCTTGTCCCCACTGGTTCATTTTCCATCCTTCCTCCCCCACCAGAGGGAAGAACTGTGGTTAGTTTCTTAGAACTTAGAGTTTTTTTTTATGAACATGATAAGCAAATATACTCTTACCTGTATATTCTTGTTTCCCTCTCTTTTATTAGAAAATGTTGTATATCCTACTGCCTTTTTGCCCCCTTGATTTTACCATGGCTAGCTTGGACACATCTTTGTTCACAGCTGCCTGGGATTGCATATGGCATTTTGCATGTCTGTGAGTTTATCTTTAAAGTTTTTTATTTTATTTTACTTTAGAGTAAAATACTTTTTACTTTTATTTTACTTTATAGTAAAATAAAGACTTAGGGTGTGAGGGCGATCTGGCTGCGGCCTCTCTCACCCCACTGGTCACCAGGACGGATTACCCTGATCTGGCTGGCCAGGCGGGTGTCCCCTTCCTCGCTCACGGCTCCATGTATGTCCTTCCCGAAGCTGCGTGCTCTGGTCGAAGAGGACGACCTTCCCAGGCAGAGGAGGGCCCTCCTCCGGTCAGGGGTGTACGAGTAGCTGCGCTCCCCTGCTGGAACCTCCAGACAAGCTCTCAAGGTCCATTCGTAGGAGAACGGAGGGTAGTCAAACTTGCAAGACTCCAGATGCATCCAAATGACTACCTGTGGTTGTCTGCTTTTCTTTAAAAAAAAAAACAAAAAAACAAAAAACCCAAATATAAAGACTTAGCTGTAGAATTGCTGGGTCAAAGGATACATGTGTTTGTGATTTTTAGTAAATACTGACAGTTGCCTTCCACAAATTGTATGCAAATATACACATCTACCTGTATAAAGTGTCTGTTAGTCCTAGACTCCTCACCAACACTGCTTTATGAGGTTTGCTTGATCTCTGTCAGTATCACAGACCGAAAACGGCATGTGAGGCTAGTTGGGAGGAGTGAGGTGGAGTGCTCATGCCGAACGTTGGGCTGCTACTTCATGGTCACGGACATAGCTAACACTCTTCAAATTAGGCTTTCCAGAGTTACTCCTTTTTAGGTTTTATTTACTTACTTGAGAGAGAGCACAAGCAGGTGGTGCGGCAGGGAGAGGGAGAAGCAGGCTCCCCGCTGATCAGGGAGCCCGATGTGGGGCTCGATCCCAGGACTCTGGGATCATGAGCTGAGCCGAAGGCAGATGCTTCACCGACTGAGCCACCCAGGCACCCCTCCAGAGTTATTCCTTTGTCTCTTTGTTCTTCAGGGGTACATTTTGTTTGAGAGGGTAACATTAATTCAGTGTCTTTTATATTTTGAAGGCTTTGGCACATCTTCCTCGTCTTCAAACCCTGCAGCCTCATCCTTCAAATTTGGTATCCCATCATCCTCTTCGGGGCCTTCTCAGACTTTAACAAGCACTGGAAATTTTAAGTTTGGAGATCAGGGAGGCTTCAAAATAGGAGTGTCTTCAGATTCTGAGTCTCCAAACTCCATGAGTGAAGGCTTCAAATTTCCTAAACCAATAGGAGATTTTAAGTTTGGAGTTTCGTCTGAGTCTAAACCTGAAGAAGCTAAAAAAGACAATAAGAATGATAATGATTTTAAGTTTGGACTTCCTTCGGGCTTAAGTACTACAGCTTCGTTAGCTCCGTTTCAGTTTGGGGTGTCTAACCTTGGTCAGGAAGAGAAGAAAGAGGAACTACCTAAATCTTCATCTGCAGGCTTCAGCTTTGGTACCAGTGTTATTAACCCCACACCTGCTGCTACCAACACCGCAGTGACCTCTGAGAACAAGAGCAGCTTCAGCTTTGGAACCCTAGAAACCAAGAGTGTTTCAGTGGCTCCTTTCACATGTAAGACGTCAGAAGCCAAAAAAGAAGAAATGCCTGCCGCCAAAGGAGTGTTCACTTTTGGCAGCATAGAACCCGCCCCTCTGCCGTCTGCCTCATTGTTTGTGTTGGGAAGGACAGAAGAGAAACAGCAAGAGCCGGTCACTTCTACTTCTCTAGTGTTTGGGAAGAAAGCTGACAGTGAAGAGCCAAAGTGTCAATCAGTGTTTTCCTTTGGAAATTCAGAGCAAACCAAAGATGAGAGTTCTTCAAAGTCCACCTTTAGTTTCAGTATGGCAAAACCATCTGAGAAGGAATCGGAACAGCCGACAAAAGCCACTTTCACGTTTGGAACTCCAACCAATACTACGGCTGGTAAGTATTAAACTTTTTTTTTTTTTAAACAAGGTGTCTCCGATCTGTGGACAAATGCAGCAGGTCAGGGAATGGTTTACACTGAACAGAGTTGAGAGAGACCGGTAACAATTCTCTGGAAAGGACATAGGATTTTCAGTTTTCACTGCTCCAAAACCCCCGAGTTGATGATGTTTTCTACAGCTCTGCTGGCAAGCCCACGGGGTTGCACATCTGTCCATGCTTCTCCCTTCTGTTTGAGCTCTTAAAATTGGAATTGGCATACTGTTCAGGAGAATAGGCCTGCCTTCGTAAGCTCATGAAATATTTTCTAACTCAGTCTTTATGTACAGGCGTTCATTCACAAATAGAGCTAATAACCAGTCATTATCAGGCATTTAAGGAGCATAGACAACAAATATAACTAGTCCCTGAAATAGAGAGGCAATTATGAAAACTAATATCCTGAAGGAAAAATGAAAGCATTTAAAAAACTTAAAAATGTGGTTGGTGAAATAAAATCATTATGTGGGTTGAGGAGCAGAAAAAACATAGATGATAGATGAGTGAACTGGGATTTCCTAGAGCCCGGTGCAGAAGTGCAGGGAGACTGAGTCCAGCTAGCTCACAAGTGCCCTTGCAGGAGGAGCGCGTAGCAGATGAGAGCGGGATGGACCAAATATCAGAGTGGTGACAGAAGACCATTTCCGATGTGCAGAGAAAGACCCTGGCCTTAAAAATGGAAATGGCCTACTCACTGGCAAAGACCAGTGAGATTTTAGGACATCAAAGCCAAAATCCTGAATGCTTTCAGAGAGAGAAAGCTGGTTGCCATCAGACTTTGAGTTTGTGCTTGAAACAAACAGTAGAGCACTGTCCTCAAAGTGAAAATGGTCTTGATCCTACAATTTTATATCCAGTTGAATTCAAAATAGAGATGTTTTCAGACAGGCAAAAAAATAGAACACCCACGAATACTTCAGAATAATACATTGGAAACACGAAATGAAAAATTAACCTAAAAAAAAAAAAAGAATGGAATTCAGTGGATGTTTTTTTGTCCGTTGTCTGTCTGGACATTCAAAACATCCACCAAAAAAAAAGAAATACTAAATTATATATGATTTGGAAAGGAATAAAAAATAAGGTTGGGTCTAATCAGATGTAATCATGGTATCACTATACTCTTTTCTTAACCTCCCGTTAACCAACCTGAAAGTGAGCCAACGTGCTCCGCTTTCTGTAAATCACACTAATGCCCATACCATATTGCGAGCAGCCTGTCTAGAGACAGTATTGGAACTGAGACATCGTTGGGACGGTTAAAAAAAAAAAGTGTCTTCAGGAAGGTGGGTGGTTTCAGGCTTACCATATAAAAACCAGTAGTTTTCCTCTAAATCAGCAAGAAATAGCTGGACAAATGATCTCTTTCGTACCTGTTCCTGAGTGAGCGTGTTCTCCCTCCCAGCGCCCCCAGCATCGTCTCAGGTTTGTGTCTAGTTGAGTGTGGTTGACACACCCATCACGTTAGTTTCAGGTGTGTAGCGTAATGGTTGCGCTGCTGCATGTGACCCGCTGGGCCCACTGCCGGGGTCGCTCCCTCTGTCCCCGCACAGGGCCAGGACAGCCCTGCAGATGGTCTTCCCAGGGCCGGGCCTTTTGTCCTGTGACTGACGCCTTCCAGAGCTGGAAGCCTCCCGTTTCCGTTTCGAGAGGAACTTTTGTGGGCTGTGACAAGCTAAGCTCAAGTTAAAATGCACCTGGAAGGGCAAATGCCCCAGCAGTTTTGCAGGGAAGGGCAGGCACACAAAAAGGTTTGCTCCGCTAACATCAAACTGAACTGCGAAGCCATGGTAATTCAACAGTCTAGGAACAGTAACTGTAGAGGGAACAGATGCACACAGATGTGGAGATTTACCATGTCCTAAGCGTGGAGTTGCACATGAGTACGTGGAGGCTGCACTGGGCAGCCAGTGATGCAGTTGGGGGGACTAGGACCCTGCTAACGCCGGTCGCAAACTCGAGAGGCGAGCGGTCTCCCGCTATCTGAACAGTTATCCAGACGTAGCTCCAGTTCGATGTGTGGGATTGAGGGATACTTTTTGTTCTTATTAATCTGAATGCTGAAAGTTGCCTGATCTAAGATGCCATAAAAGAAAAGACGGATATATTGGCTTACATCAAAATGTGATAGAACACGTCCGTGTGCTGAATGAATGTATTTAACAAGACGTGAGTATTCTGTGTTCTCATGAACGACTAGACTGCAGCGTAGCAGAGAGTGCTGTGTGGTTGCTTGCACTCAGAGGTCTTGTGTGTCCTGTCGTTCATGTCTGCAGATCCAGGGGCAGCAAAGCCAGCGTTCGCCTTCCTGAGCAGCGGCGCTCCCACAGGCAGTGCACCGGCCGCCGCGGGGACTGTGTTCCGAAGCCCCGCCGCCTCCAGCGCGCCCGGGCCCGCCTTTGTGTTCGGACAGGCCAGCAACCCCGGGGCCAGCTCTGCCTTTGGGAACTCGGCCGAATCGGGTGCACCTCAGTCTTTGCTGTTTTCTCCAGAGAGCAAACCAGCGACCACGTCGAGTGCGGCCGTCACCCCGTTCGTCTTTGGGCCGGGAGCCGGCAGCAACAGCACCACGGCCTCCGGCTTCAGCTTTGGAGCTACGACCACATCCAGCTCTGCAGGTACGGTGACAGAGGAGAGACGTGCATGTGCTGGCTGGGTGTCTCTGCAGGTAATGTAGCAGGTGACCAGAGAACGGCCCGGCGCCGCTAGGCCGGCTTTACGCAGGGTGTTGTAACCGTGCACTGCGTGGAATCATGTGTATATTGGGTTCAGTTTAATATAAGTAACTCTTGGGAGGAATTTCTCTAGTCTCAGTGTCATCTTCAGTTTTTCCAAGTGTTCTTTTTGAGATGTTAGGTTGTTAAGTAACCAGAAACTGGGGACTGTTTCATCCGACACGTGTCCCCAGTACGTAGCATATACGTGAGGACAATGCTAGGCGGTCTCTGCTGTGCGGTAGATCATCTGCTGAGAGGTCGCGGGGCTTCATAGATCAGTCCGTCTACCTGAAAAAATCTGGCTGCGAAGGTGGGGACTCTTGCTGAAGACCATTTTGTTGATGTGAATTCTATATGGTTTCACTAAATAATGGAAAGAATTATATTCTTAAATATTATTCATACCTTGCCTTGATGGGATCTGTTCAGCAAGGTAAATGTCCGAAAAGAAGCTTGAAGTTTGCTGCTGAGTTTATAGATGTTTCTTGAGGTTTATCTCATGGTAGCTATTAAGTGACACCAGTGTTTCTCTGGGCCTCTAGGATCCTCCTTTGTATTTGGCACTGGGCCTTCAGCACCATCTGCCAGTCCAGCATTTGGGGTTAACCAAACTCCGACATTTGGACAGAGTCAAGGTGCCAGCCAGCCTAATCCCCCGGGGTTTGGAGCTCTGTCCCCGGCAGCAGCGCTGTTTTCTGCGGCTTCTCAGCCCGCACCGCCTACCTTTGGGACTGTGTCAAGCAGTAGCCAGCCTCCTGCGTTCGGACCGCAGCCCAGGCAGTCTGCGTTTGGCTCTGCGGCAGCTCCGAGTTCCGGTGAGTGTGCTCTGCTCTGTACCTCGGGTCTGCTTGTCTGCAAGTAGCCTGGTGTCTGTACCTTGGGTCTGCTTGTCTGCAGATAGCATGTTTCTGAATTTTGAAACCATGCCTATGTCTTATTTCTTTATTTTATTTTTTTTTTAAGATTTTATTTATTTGAGAGAGAGGGAGTGCACACAAGCGGGGGGAGCAGCAGAGGGAGAGGGAGAGGGAGAAGCAGACTCCCCGCTGAGCAGGGAGTCTGACCCAGGGCTCCATCCCTGAGCCCAGGGCAGAGGCTTAACTGACTGAGCCACCCAGGCGCCCCCTGTCTTATTATTTCTTTAAATGTCTCTTGTACTTGGAATAGAAAAGTAAATGCTCAGACTTCCCTAGAAACAACATTCCCAACTTTCATACAGTGAAGCACTTTAAGGCATTAAAGCATGTGATTAAAATGTAGTTATTTCTTTCTCTTTGAGGTGCAGCATTGATTCAGTCCCATTTCTCCCCATCTGAGTTTTGGAGCACTCCAGCCTAGATTTCAGCCGCATTTTCTAATCCTCGTTGTGATTGGATTTACTTCAGGAGGTTATGCCCCCACTCCAGTTCTCTCCTGGGCCAAAACTGCCCAGGCGCCCAGGACACTTTGTTTGATGATGCTTGACTTGCATATTTAAACGAACGTTCGTGTGTGTGTCTGTGTGTGTGTTTAATATGGCTATAATCACATTGTACTATGAGGATATATTTCCTCAAAACTGTAGGATGTGTACTTTTCTAACTGTAAAATATGACTTCCTATAGAAAAGCATGGGACAGAAATGAGCAGTGTGGTGTTGGAGCAGACGTGTGGCTAGCCCACCGCCAGCAGCCCCTCCTGCTCCCTGTTTGCTCACATGCCTCTCTTTCCTTGGTCTAATGTGTCTGGGGTTTTATTTAAAGTTAACTGCTGATACGTGAAGCTCGACAAAATAACGTTTTGCCTTATTTTTAACTCTATATAAATGGAAATCTCACTGTATTCAGTTTCTCTATTCTTGCATCTTTCACTCTTACTTGTAAAGTTCCTCCATGTTATTGCGTACTGTTTGTTCATTTTCACTGCTGTAGAGTAAATCAGTTTATGAACATAGCACAATTTATCCATATACTGTTGATGAATGTGTTGGAGTTGTGTTTAGCAATTCGGAAATGCACCTTTGCGGGGCGCCTGGGTGGCTCAGTTGTTAAGCGTCTGCCTTTGGCTCAGGTCATGATCCCAGGGTCCTGGGATCGAGCCCCGCATCAGGCTCCCTGCTCTGCGGGAAGTCTGCTTCTCCCTCTCCTGGTGTCTGTACCTTGGGTCTGCTTGTCTGCAGATAGCATGTTTCTGAATTTTGTGTTCCCTCTCTCGCTGTGTCTCTCTGTCAAAAAAATAAAAAAAAAAAAAAGAAATGCACCTCTGCTCATTCTTGTGTATGTGCTTGGGGCACACATGCATATTTTTCTAGGGTATATACCCAGGAGAGGGCTTGCCAAATTAAAAGGTATGCGTGCATATCTTATACTTCAGAAAATAATGCAAGCTTGTCCTGATGGATTGTGCCCATTCAGATCTTACTACGGTGTATGAGGATTCTCATATTTGGATTCTGCTGGATTTCATTTTCTGTTAATTGTTTCTAGAAGGATTTTTTTTTTTTTTTTGGGGCCGTTTTTTTGTTTGGTGGTTTCACTTTTGCTTACTGATGTGCAGGAATATTTTTATGTATTCTGGATATTAGTACTTTGTCAGTACAGGGAGCAGAATTTCTGCTGGGATGTATGTTAACCATTTTAATCAAGATTTATTGATTCTTCTCAGCATGTGAATTGCGGAGTGTAGCTTTTCACACAGGTACCATTTCTCTCCTCCTGTCTCTCCTCCTCGAGTGGCCATTGTGTGCTCAGATGAGTGTTTCCAGGATGCAGATGCTGTGTGGTATAGTGTGTTTTTCTTTTCTATACAGAATTCTGTTTTCTCCAGCATCAGTGATCCCTCCCTGTGTTAATAATTTCTTTGTACCTATCATTAGTTATAACTTTAGCTCTTCTCCCTTTCTTAGAGATCACTTCTCAGTATTTTCAAATACATTGCCTGCTTGTTATTTAGTATCTTGAAGGAAATTTTTCACAGAATCATCTGACCTGTTCCTTCTACCAGGCTTTCTAGGCCTGCTATTTAACTGTGGTCTTGGTACCACTTTTTACCATTCTCTTGGGATTGCCCTTAGCTTCCTCTCTTTGCTGGATGATGTCAGTGTCTTGTTCTTTCTTATTCCTTTGTTTTGATAGAGCAGATCTTCGAGTGGTTTCTTAAGTCCTCCGGGAAGAAAATTTTGAGACCTTACATTTCTGGAAGTATCTTTATTCTGTGCCTGTGTTTGGTAAGATTTCGGTTGAATACAGATTTAGATTGGAAATAATTTTCATAGTTTTGAAAGGATTTCTGCATGCTGGACTTTCTGGCTCCCTCAGAGTTGCTCTGGAAGTCTTTCTTGATCTTTGCTTTTGGACCCATTTCTTCTTTCTGGAATCTCACTGGATCTTTTCTTTTGCCTCCAGTGTTCTGACTTACCAGGAGGATGTTCCTTGATCTGGATCCATTTTTACCCACTGACAGTGAGGAATTTAGTCTGTCCTTTTGTGAACATCCATTCTTGGGAACTTTCTGGAATTACTTCTTTGAAGATTTTTGTGCCTCACTCTTTAACTTCTGTTCTTTTTTCCTTTTTGTCCTTTCTGGGAAGATTTCTTAGATTTATCTTTTACTTCCCCTTGGTCAAGATTTTACTTTTGCTAATTTCAGATGTTCTTTTTTGTTCTGCGGATCTGTCCTTTTTATATCCTTCTGTTCTTGTTTCAGAATTGTTACCTGTTGATCTCTTGAGGATATTAATGATGAGGTGTGGGTTTTCATTTTTTCCCCTTTAAGCTATCGTTCTAGTCCATTTTCTACAAATTGCTTTTCTCTATTATCGTTTGGGTCTTGGTGTTTCTTATGAAATACTTTCCTCAAATGTTTGGTGTTTCTTGGCTATCTACTCACAGTTGTTTTTTTTTTTTAATTGAAAGAATTAACATGAGATCCATCCTTTCAGCAAATTAAGCGTATAATACAGTGTTGTTAACTACAGGCGCCCTGTCGTACTAATTGCTAGCACTCCTTCATCTTGTGTAACTACACTTCACACCCGATGAAGAGCACCTCTCCATTCCTTTCATTTCTCTCTCTCATGCACACACACACACACACACACCCCACACACACACACACACACACACACCCCCCAACAGCTGCCCTTCTTCTCTATGCTTCTATGGTTTGGCTATTTTAGGTTTCTCATATAAGAGAAATCCTGCTGTACTTGTCCTGTGACTGGCTTATTTCACTTAGCATGATGTCCTCCAGATTCATTTTAAAGGCTGAATAGTATTCCATTGTGTATAATATATACATTGTTTTCATCTCTTCATCTGTCAGTGGACATTTAGGTTGTGTCCACATCTTGGCTGTTATAAATAATGCTGCGGTGAACTCGAGAGTCCAGATATCTCTTCAAGATCCTGATTTCAAATCTTTTGGAGAAATACCTAGAATGGGACTGCTGGATCATAGGGTATTTCTATTTTTACTTTTTTTGAGGCGCCTCCATACTGTTTTCTAGTTGCACCAGTTTGCATTCCCACCAACAGAGCGCAGGGTTCCTTTTCTTTACGTGCTCGCCGACCTGTTATCGCTTGTCTTTTTGATTTTTAGCCCTTCTAACAGGTGTGAGGTGGCACCTCATTGTGGTTCTGATCTGCATGTGCCCGATGATGAGTGATGTTGAGCATCCTTTCATGTGTCTGTCGGCTGTTTGTTCATCTTTGGAGAAATGTCTGGTCAAGTCCTTTGTCCATTTTTAAATCAGGTTATTTGGTTTTTTTGACTATCAAGTTGTAGAAGTTAATTTATATATTTTGGATATCAGCTCTTTTTATCAGATATATGGTCTGCAAATATTTTTTCCTGTTCAACTCATAATTTTATGAGCATGGGACACCTAAGTACCACTTGGTAATTCTTTGTGCATGGATAGGCTCATAGATCTTGAATCTCACAGTAGGTTTACCTGACGGGCCTGCTTACTTGGGAGGACCTGGATGTTATCAGTAGGTGTTTCCTTCTAGAAGGTCAGGTTCCCCGGAGGTTATTCCCAGTCTGGTCGTGCTTGGAGGGTACTCCTACTTCTGATTGCGCATGCTCTGGGAGCCGAGTCAGGGAGGAAGGCTGCAGCTCTCCCTGCTCATTACATCAACTTACTTTTAACCCTTCTAGTTTTGATAGGATGCCCTTGCCTTTGTGTGTGATCCCCTCGTCCAGAGACCCCTGCAGAGACTGACGTTCCATTCTGTTGGGGTAGAGAATTACCATCTTGTTTGGTACTGGGATGGGAGTGATCTGGGTGCCTGCTTCTTATACAGATATTCTCCCATCCCCCTCCTTTTTTTTTTTTTAATAGTTACACCTTCATTCTCCCTTCCAGAGGCCCCTGGCACCCAAGCCTTGGTATGTTTAGTGTAAATGGAACTGCGTCTGTGCTTTCCCTGCTGCTAGCTTAGTGCTTGGTTCCAGTCAGCCTCCCAGCATCTCCATTTTGTTGTTGTCTCCTCTCTCCCCCGGCTTTGTAAAAATCCCTTTACTATTATTTTAAGATAATTTTTTAAGTAAGCGCTAAAGGTGTGTGTTGATTCCACTGTCTTGAACCGGAAGTCTCTTCTGCCCTTTCCTCCTTGGTCATGGGTAAGTTGGGTCACTTGTCCAAGGGTGTTTTAAGTATGTTGTGTGTGTACGTGGAGAAAATTCTTCGTTTTAACTTTCTATTAAATGATTATAAGAGAGCTTAATCCTTCCCACGTTTTTGTATGTAAAGGTCAGAGCCCTTACTAGAAAAACTGCCCTCTTGCCCGTAGTGAAGTTTCTCTGCTTTAACTACCACAGGTTCGGTTTTCCAGTTCGGCAGCGGCAGCACCACCAATTTCAACTTCACGAGCACCAGCCCGTCGGGAGTATTCACGTTCAGGGCGAATCCCAGCCCCGCGGCGGCCTCGGCGCAGCCTTCCGGCTCAGGGGGCTTCCCGTTTCCGCAGACTGCGGCGACGTTTACAGTGGGGTGAGACAGCGGCTCGTGGGGACGGGGGCCCCGGCGCGGTGGGCTGCACGTGCGGGCCGCAGTGTGACTGCGGTGGTCTTCCGTCCCGGCGGGGTGCGGGGTGCGGGGTGGCCGCGCCGAGACCCGTATGTTCTCCCGCGTCGGTTGCCCACAGCGCAGTTGTGCGGGAGCGGGGCCTCGGCGCGGTGGCCGGTGGGGCGCGCACGTGTGCTGACGGCCTGAGTTTACTTTTATGGTGCCCCCCACGACCCCGACGGCCCTCCCCCACGGCCCCAACGGTCCCCCCCACGGCCCCGACGCGTCCCACGGCCCCCCATGGCCCCTGACGCCTCCCACGGCCCCGACGGCCCCCCCACGGTCCCCCGACGGCCCCGACGCCCCCCCACGCCGGTCGCAGGTAGGATTGTGGTGATTCTCAAATCTCCCGGGCACCTGGTCACGGAATGCAGTCTTTATTTTCCACAGGTCAAACGGGAAAAATGTGTTCTCTTCTTCTGGAACTTCTGTTTCTGGCCGCAAGATAAAGACTGCCGTCAGGCGCCGCAAATGAAGGCGGCGGTGCGTCGCACACCACGCTCCGCGGCGGCCGGGGCCCTGCTGCTCGGCTTCCGGAGCGGACGGGGCGAGGGCCGTCTCAGGCCAGAGCTGCCCGAGGCCTTCTCTACGTATGGGACTCCCTCCTTTTTCTTTACAGAAGCCCTGCCCTCACTCTCCCACTCCCTTTAACAAAAAAAAAAAAAAAAAAAATAGCTAGATTGGTGACTGATTCTTCAGCAGAAAGAGGATCCAGCACATAATTCCCTGATGCGGCGTCGGCGGGCGGATCCCAGGGACAGAGCCCGCTCCCCGGCTGGCTTGGCATAGACCCACCTCTGTCTGCCCC